TATTAGTATCTGCGGGATTTTTACAAGTGAGTGGGTATAACCAAAATATTTAGTAAATAAATAAAATTATGTATGTACTTATACATGGGGCAAAATTCGTCAAATGTACTATTAAAAATATTTTACAATACACCTTTTCCAACAGTATTTCAGAAAAACACAAATGTATTTCAGAAAACTTCAAATGTATTTCAGAAAAGGGCAAATGTATTTCAGAAAAGCTCAAATGTATTCCAGAAAAGCTTAACTGTATTCTAAAAATATTTTTCTGAAATATATTTGTGCTTTTCTGAATACATTTGCCTTCTGAAATACATTTGCGTTTTTCTGAAAATAATTTGAACTTTTCTGAAATACAATTGTGTTTTTCTGAATTTCATTTGGCTTTTTCTGAAACACATTTGGCCTTTTCTGAAATATATTTGAGCTTTTCTGAAATACATTTGCCCTTTTCTGAAATACATTTGAGGTTTTCCGAAATACATTTGCAATTCATTTGGCCTTTTCTGAAATTCATTTGGTCTTTTCTGAAATACATTTGTGTTTTTCTGAAATACTGTTGGAAAAGGTGTAGATCGTCATCACCCGCTTCGCTGAGTATATGAAATTTCTGCGTGCTACATTATGTGTTATTTATTTCGATAATATCACAACATATTTAAACTATGGCAAACACAGGAGATCTTAAATTTCTTAAAAACCGTTTCGATGATACACCTATTGTAATATAATTCATGTTGAATTTGAACTTTCAAATATGTGTAGCTTAGAAATGAAGCCTTTTCAAGACTTTCGATTAATACCTATATTTTAATAACTTTCTTAACTTACACTATAATTGTATTTGAAATTAGTTTTATTAGAATTTTTTGAGATACATAGCTTGCGAATAATTAAATTAAATTTGAGTTTTCAAACAGGTGGCAAACCTTTTCAAAATATTTTCAAACTACAACTTTTTCAGGCCTCTTTACATCCATTTCTTAGTATAATTTTAAATAACTCCATACCAAGTTGCAGATCAGAAATATTTCCTGCGATATGCTGAGTGAAAAATTCCTTTGAATGAGAGGTGCCACGCCCCCTTGTACATTCAAGATTAAATCTATCCTATATTTTAAGTTGAGATCAGTGTACTAAATTTCATGATGATGGGTTATGTAGTTAAATCGTGAAACTCACTTTCGGATTTTTAATATTAAGTAAGGATTACTGGTAACCGATGTGTAAAATAATTTCTTTCTAGCGCGGTTTTTTGTCGAGTTAAAGCTGGGTTATGCAAGACTTAGACTTGACTTACCTAGAATCTTAGACGCGATTACTCAGCGTGTCACCTGTTACATTTTCTCTTTGGTTTAATTCTCAGCACTTATATTTGTATACGTAAAATTGTAAACGTTTAATTTGTTTTTGCACCAAAATTTATACAAATTGCTTATTCGGTTGGATAATCTTGTTGACGCATATGATAGCAAATTTAATAGCCTTT